GCAACGGCCCGGCATGGCCAGGTGGTTAGGGCCCTCGACTCACAATCTGAGGGTCGCGGGTTTGACTCCCCGTCCCACCAAACATGCTCGCTCTTTCAGCCGTGGGGGTGTTATAATGTGACAGTCAATCCCACTCTTCGTTGGTAAAAGAGTAGCCCAAGAGTTGGCGGTGGGTGGTGATGACTAGCTGCCTTCCCTGTAGTTTTACACTGCTAAATTAAGAACGTGTAGCTTTGCGCAAAATTAAAAAACAAACAAACAAACGTCCGGCAATTTGATCGGTGTGTCTTCGTATGGAATGAATGAGTATTCATTTTATTCTTTAGCTGATTGAAGTATGCGATGGTTGAACAAGTATGTCATGAAAATAACTTATATACACCAGCAAGGAATATTTTTGATTATGTTGCCTACTGACTCTTGTGTTTGTGAACTACCAAATGTTATAAAACGTCGCCCTTTGTTTACTATGGTTGGAGTGCGACTTGTTGTAGGTCTCTATCTGGATGGGCCATCAAGCTGATCCATATTCCATTGTTTTCCAATGCTATTATTGCAAGAGATATTCCCCTCTTGGAACTTCTAAATCCCCGATCTGAACGTGTTAAAAGGTTGTTACATACCCGATCAATTTTCGGTTGCATTCATCAGCCTAAAAACTGCCAAACCACGTCAAAATGTAATTCTGATACATTCCTTTTCACTGCGACTTTACACTGACTGTTTTGATATAACGTACTCAACCCTCTGTAGAATAGCTATTATGTTAATCCTATTTACTCTAGAAAAGTACACCAATTTCTGATAGAATAACTTATAATGGGTGGAGGTGTTTCGATTCCAACTTATTCTGTCCCGGACTTGATGCAACAAAAAAAACTTCATCGTGGTAAACTTTGTTTCTATCAGCATTGCTATCACATTTTTCTCCTGTCAAAATCTTATGAAAGATATCTTGTTTTAAACCAAAACCAGTGGAATTTTTTGGTGTAATATTTTTCTAGTTATAAGGAATGGGTAGCTTATCAAAAAATTATAATGCGTTATTGTTCTACTTCTTTTCATCAAAACAACGAAACATGTATATTAAAGCATAATATTAGTGAAGCATTTCAGGACACTGAGAAATGACTGATTGAAGGAAAACTATTTCAGGACACCGAGGAATGGCTGATTGAAGGAACACTATTTCAGGACGCTGAGAAATGCCTGATTGAAGAAACACTATTTCAGGACACTGAGGAATGGCTGATTGAAGGAACACTATTTCAGGACGCTGAGAAATGCCTGATTGAAGAAACACTATTTCAGGACACTGAGGAATGGCTGATTGAAGGAACACTATTTCAGGACACTGAGGAATTGCTGATTGAAGGAACAAATTTCAGGACACTGAGAAATGGCTGATTGAAGGAACACTATTTCAGGACGCTAAGAAATGGCTGATTGAAGGAACCCTATTTCAGGACACTGAGAAATAGCTGATTGAAGGAACACTATTTAAGGACGCTGAGAAATAGCTGATTGAAAGAACACTATTTAAGGACGCTGAGAAACAGCTGATTGAAGGAACACTATTTAAGGACGCTGAGAAATAGATGATTGAAGGAACACTATTTAAGGACGCTGAGAAATAGCTGATTGAAGGAACACTATTTAAGGACGCTGAGAAATAGCTGATTGAAGGAACACCATTTCGATGAATCGTCTAGCTCAACATCAGAATATTTGTTTGATTATCTATCAGTTTTTAAGTGGCCAAAAATTTGTCTGAGGAAGCGTTATTTTGTATTGTTTATAGTAGATAATATCAGGGTTAGAGATTTTATTTATATAAATGAATTAAATAAATACAAAGAATGGACCATCTTGAATTGGTTGATTCAAAACACCAAAAAGACAAACCCTACAAGGTAGCATAGTAACTACAATATCTAATACGACAAGGTTACAGTTTTGTAAATAACTGTTAATTGAATTGGTATTATGTATTCTCATGTACCATATTTTGTTGTCGTTAGATGGTGAAAAAGTTACATGCATATACATTTAGTATCAAGAAAAATAAAAAAACAGTAAACAATTTGAATTAGTTTTGATTTCATCTGGTATTTGTGACCAATAAAGAATTAAAAAATCCGCATGAACTGTTACAGTTCGTTTACCATTTTAGTTTTAAAAATACATTTACAGCACACTTTACTTTGATTCGTAAGATATTTGTGTCTGGGGTGAATGATGGAACGAGTAATTAAAACCAGTTGTTCTTGTTTCAAAAAACTAGAACGTCTGTAAGTTTTTATACAATAAACGGTTCTAGCAGAATAAATTGAACCACTGATGAGAACTTCGTGATTTAAATCTCTTTGTAGTAATGGCAAGACTTGGATAAAAATGACTAATTCGTAATTCGTCAGTGACAACAATCATAAAATACAGCCCTTTGTAGATAAAGGTAAAATGAAAGATAGCTTTAATTAACTTATTACGATCTAATTAATATTGTATGATATCTGATCATTCCTCTGTCAGCAGTGAATAAATGTGGGGTGCTTGTAGATATGTTAAAACAGTCTCGCCTGGACACCGATAGAGGGAGAGAAATAGCAGTTTATTAAAGACAGTGAAGTTTCCTTTATACACAAAATAGACAGATGTTTATACAAACAGGTTGTAATACGATTAGGTACACCAAGTCAATTTACAGAGGTATAAGAAACACGTGATATATATATATATATTCCTACAGAAGGTATCTGTACTCAGCTACTCACACAAGTATTTCTTTTACAAGTTTCTGTAAAATAAATCAGAAGGCATCTGGTGTTTTGAAATCTTACAAAGACGTTCGGTATATTTTGCGTACGAGCTTATCATATGTAAAATAGTGTGATTTATTAACATAATACACCAAATTAGTCAGATTTTCTTTTTCTTATCCAGTCTTTCTCAGCTTAGCTTTGATGAGCCAATTAATCAGTTCTTTTAAAACTGCTCTAGGTAAGTAGCATTATTTAAAAAGAAATAGTGAAAAGCACGTATGTGAACACATAGTAAACAGAATGAAAACTTTTAGAAGCTATTCTGATTTCTCGTTAAGAATTAGTTAAACTATTGGATGAATTTTGATTTCTTTTTTTGATGATTTGATTGTAGTTTATAGATTGATATTTTAACAGTAGATTTAAATAAACATCAAATGAACTACGTAAGTTCGCTAAAATTCAAAGATTTTGAATTTTCACAACACTTCAATATGGATATTATCCAAAACCAAGAACACTTCATTTCGGCATGTGAAGTACGTCTTAGAAAACGTGTGACAAAGCGATAGTGATAAACAAAACTGGATGAGAAATAAATAGATCGCTTTCGGAGCAGTTGTAAATATTTTGTTACTTCTACACCGCAAGTTCTTACATGACTTTATCGAACCCGAATGAGCTGTTACAGTTTTGTTACTTATATCTCACGAGTTCTTACATGACTTTATCGAACCCGAATGAGCTGTAACAGTTTTGTTACTTATATCTCACGAGTTCTTAAAAAAGCTTTGTCATACATAGTAATTATAATTAATTATAA